TTTTTACCTGAATTAGTTCCAACTCGTATTAATATTTGGTAAGGATTTTGCTTTCTGTAAGTCATTACAAAGTTGACCAGCTCGGTTAATTGACAAACATAAACAAGGACTCTTAAATACTTTTTTTCTTTTCTTTCGCAATAACTTTCGGTACATCATAAAATTTAGATGAGAATTTAATTTTTTGGTAAAGTTTTTCAAGATTTTTCTCAAAGTGAATTTCACTTTTCATTAAGGATTTCAGAAGGATGTGTATTTTGAATTGACATAAGTTGAATAATCATAGTTTCAGTTTCTTTAAACTTGACTTTATTAATAACTAATTAAGGAACACCAATTGTTAGTTATAGGTGATGGCAACCTAACTGAAAATACCTTTTGATAATTTAATCAATTAGAAAACACTGATAAATCTAATAAATAAGTTACAAGTAGACATGTCTGGATTACATGCTCAAGTTGCTTTTTCTTATAATTCGACCTTAAAAGATTTATAGTGACTTTTTCTGAACTTTTTCAAAAGAATTAACTAAGTTAGTAGAAAGATTTGTACTCAAATTCATTTCAGTACCTTAGTGTAAAATTCCTCTCTCAATCGCACATAAATAAACGTTACACATCCTAATCGAACTGATTTTTTTGTATTTTTTTTTCATACGTGGAATCTCGAACTAGAATTTGAACAAACTGTGCATGTTTCATAATTTCTAGAGCTTACACATCTAGATATTTGAGCTACCGGGTTTTAAATACATTTTTTATGACTTTACTTTCAGTAAGTTCAAAAATTTTTTGCGTGTTGGATATATGCCTACATAAAGTTTATTTTTAAATATTGATTATTTTTAGAAAGTGGTTTTTATTTTAAAAAATTGCACGAACTAATCATAAAATGCAATATACCTGTTGGACAACTGTACACAGTTTTTACTTTTATTTTTATGTAACCCTCTAATAGTATCGTAACTTGAATAGGTTTTAAGCATTTCGTAAAACAACAGCAATAAATAATTTTTTGATTGGTCCCGTCTGAAACAGTCTTGTCTTTCTTTGCATTTTACTGTTTCGTTAGATAATATATTAGGCATTTTCTAACCTATTGTTTGTTTTCAGATTAATTGTTGAACACTAAACTACCTTGTGTTAGTGATTGTGACATTAATAATAATAATAATAATAATAATAATAATAATAATATATATATATATATATATATATATATATATATATATATATATATATATATATATATATATATATATATATAGTAACGGAAACACTTTTGTTATATATAAATACATACAAGTATTATTTATATATATCGAAAAAAACATAAAACGATGTCCTTTCAGTTATCAACAAACGTAATAAACAAAAATTTGTTTAATTAACATTAACACTTATCCGAAGCATATAACTTAATTCCAACATTAGTCATCTTATTATAACTTTAACATTTTGAAATGTCCGCCAACGAATTGTACAAAACATCGTCCATTTTACCTCCATTAAACCCAATAGACTTGCTTGAAAATTGGCCTGGTCCTGGAAAAGGCAAGGCTGCTTATCTACCTAAAAGATGTGACGCCATAATTTGCTCTCTAGCTACAACAATCAAACTACTGCTCAAAAAAGTAGCAGCCTTTAAAAAAATCAACACCAACCTGCAAATTCAGCTTACCTACTGCCAACCATGGCAGATTATCCTTCCGTTTCTCAACCAATCCTAAAATCTTTTGCCTTGCAACTAGCCAAAACTGGATCAACCACAAATAATGCCATTATAAATGTCGTAACTCCGCTTCACAAAAAAATGCTTTTATACTGTTACTAAATTGCAAAATTTAACTTTGACGTCAAATGACGATTGGACCAATACCATCGGTGCTGAAACTAGCTTTGGCACTAAATTTACCAAAATCATTTTTGACCTTCATCTAGATCAGCACATAATCAATCCCACCTTCACCCAAGCTAACGGTCTGTTCAAAAATACACTGACCTCGTAATTACCGAAGCGACCGAGCGAACAAGCCACATCACTATTGGTCCTCCTCTTGGTAGTGCCTCACAGAGTCTGACATGGAAACACCAGCTAGCCAAAAACGCCTATAACTCTCCTTGTTTTAACAGCTCAAAATTTATATACAGGAGAGGTAATTACAGGAATCTAAACGAGAAACTCTCCCAAGTTGATTGGATCAGTCTATTTAAAGTTCGATATGCCGACGAATGCTATCAAACCTTCTGCAATAACGATATCAAATGCTGTGAAGAATTTATTCCCCGTGCCACCTCCAAACCAACCAAATGAAGGCAGCCTTGGATAACTAGCGAACTTCTATTACTAATTAAACGTGAGAAACTTTGGTACCTAAACCGCAATAGTAAATGGCGAATTATCACTCTTGTTAAAGAGTATAACATAACTCAAAACCTTGTCAAAAAAAACTTCCAGCATTGCCATTAGAACATTCGAATGCAACTTAGCAAACGATAAATGGAACCTCAAGCGTCTATACACCTATGTGAACAATAAACGTGCCGTCAGTAAGCAAATAAGCCGTGCAGCCGTGGCGCAGCGAGCAGCCGTGGTGCAGTGGTAGCGCACTTGTCTCAGAAACGTAAGATCCATGGTTTGAACCCCACCTCTGGGCAAGTTTTGCGACATCGGTTGGGAAGGAGGCGTGAACTTCCTATTAAATGCTCTTCCGCGGTGCTCTGTGATAAGACCGTAAGGACTTTTTGGGGCACCTTAATCAACTTAAAAAAAAAAAAAAAAAAAAAATTGTATGTGCTCACCTTCTGGGGAAATAAGCAGCAACCGGGCAGCATCCATAGCGAATATACTTAACCGCCAGTTCCAGTCAGTATTCACATCAGGTCAACCACTACCTCCCTTTTTCAACCGTACAACCGCTTTAATCTCCTCCGTCATTTTCAGCTACGATTCCGTTCACAAATACCTATCTGTTCTCAACGCCAATAAATCAACTGGAGATGGTCGTATCAGCCCATTTGTGCTTAAGACATGTGCCGATGCAACATTTGGAGATTTTATTTTCAACAGATCTAATATGATATTTCCATGATATATTTTCATCTAATATCACTCCTAGAAAGTTAATAGTTGACTCTCTTTTAATAATTTTTTTGTTCATAAAGAGATCAGGTAGTTTTAAAAAAAGGTTTAAAAATCACCTTTACTAGGTTTGTGGAACAACATAAATTTAGTTTTCCCAACATTTAATGAAAGTTTATTATTCGTAATCCATTCATTTATTTTTAATAACTCTTCATTAAAAATTCTAATCAGATCTTTAATATTTCTGTTAGAGTAAAAAAGATTTGAGTCATTAGCAAACAAAATAACGTTCAGAATTTTGGATGCTAAATACAAATCATTAATGAACAGTATGAATAATAAGGGCCCTAAGATTGATCCCTGGGGAACACCACAAGTTATGATATGTTTTTTTTCTTCATTTTCTGTATATATTATGTATTGTTTCCTGTTTGAAAGGTAACTTTTAAACCATTGTAAGTTATTGTTTAATACTCCATACATTTCTAGTTTTTTGATTAGAATATCATGATTAACAGTGTCAAATGCTTTTGACAAATCAATAAAAACTCCTAATGTATAGCAATCATTATTGAACCCATTGGATACATAATTTATTAGATCGACTACTGCATGGTCCGATTGAATGATTTTTTTTAAACCCAAATTGTTTATTATACAGAATATTGTTCTCAGTTAAATAGTTGTTGTCATACATAATTCGTTCTAACAATTTAGAGAAACATGGTAAGACAGAAATAGGTCTATAATTGGACATATTTGTATCATCGCCATTTTTAAAAATAGATTTAAATATAATAATTTTTAAATATAGACAATATAGTGGCATTGAGATTGTACTGATATATTTTTTTACTATTTAAATTGATTGTTATGGATAGATATATAAATATTTATTATTTAAGTTTGTATTGCATATTGCTTTGCATTTTATATTGCTTGTATGTATAATTTGTTTAATTTGTTTAAAATACTATATAAAAAATTAAAGTTAATTTTATTTTTTATATAGTATTTTGAAAAAATTTATTGTAATTTATTATATTATTACAATATTATTACATGGCTTTGTGGAAAAAAAAAAAGTTTGTGTATACATATATGCATAAATATGCAAGTGTATGCATATGCATGTATGTGTGTTGTGTATGTATAAGTGTATGCATTTTATGTATGCGTATTAATATGTGTGTATGTATGTATGTATATATGTATGTATGTATGTATGTATGTATGTATGTATGTAAGTACATTCGCACCTTTAGTGAGACATTGCGGTTTTATACTGACCCTTTACGAGGACTTTTTTTTTTGTCGGGACATTTTTAAGTCCCGATAAAAATAACAGCAAAAACTATGTTAATTTGATGTATTTCGATGAGTGGCACTATTCTTTTTTAAGTCTCAATAATGGGGCTTTACACGAACATTCAGCTTACACTAAAAAACTAGAAAACTCACCATTATCGGGACTCTAAAAAAATGTTGTTTTATTTTGCAAATATAATGCCAAATACATTTAGATGCTTAAGATAACGTGTTATATTCTGAGATAGTAGTCCACTATTGCTCCACTATAAAGTTATTAGCTTACACGATTTACATACACGCGCATTTTCTCGCGTTCTTTAAACGCGACTTTTTCTATTGTTTAGAAAATCACATTAAAAAAATTATGACAATTGTAATGCCCTATGACTTTTTTCTCGTATCGAGCGTTTTGTAATTGTTTTATGATTTTAGTTTTTTTTTTTTGAGAGGTTGATAAATTAAAATCATTATAACAAAGTTATTGAATCTTTTTTATTCTTTTTTTAAGATAAAAGTTGGATTTACTCGAAAAACATCTTTTTTCGGTGAATTATTAGAGAAATCTAAAATATGCATAAAAACAAAGTAAATAAATATTTTTTGCTATTTGATATATATTCATTATACAAATATTACACTGATCTTTTTTATACACACTTAAAATTATAATACACTTGAAATAATTATATAAAATTTAATCAACGTTAATAAACTTGATTTCAACATAACTACTTCAAAACACCATTATTTGTATATAAATAAAAACGCATAAATCATCTCTTTCTAATAATATTGTTTAGTTTGTCTTTAACAATCTTATGCCCTCTTCTTCGAAGACAAGGTATACTTTCAATAATTTTTTTAACATCAAGAAGCGGACACGGAATCTTTCTCGCGATATATATCGAAAACGCCTTACGAAGTGATGCGTTTTCTTCTTCCGACCAACCTTTCCAAGTTTTTTTTGACTAAATAAGAACACTAAATAATAAGGGACAACAAAAATTCAAATACTAAAGATTTGTTTATAATTTTGAAACAAATTTTTCTTTTTAAAGAGAAAAGCAAAGTTAATTTAATTTCAAAAGATAACCTCTTTGTGCATGTTTATTCTTTTATTTTGTATTCTTTTACGTTCGACATTAATTAATTCATTTTCAATGACATTGGTATTTTCATCCAAAACATTGCTATTTGCATCTCCAACATCTTCATCTGAATAAGTGCAAACATTAGCACTTTCTCCTGTATTAACATTTGATATCCCTATAACCAATAACGAATAAATGGTTACAACTGCAACAATTTAAAGATTTGAATAAAGGGCATTACTTGTTTTTTAACCATTACATGAATCAACGTTAAACATTTGTTTTAAAATCAAAATTTTTTTAAAACACATTTGTGGGTGCTGTTATACACCTATTTTTCCACACCTGTTTGTCTTAAAAGCTTTATTATTCATTTTATTTATATTTGTAATATAAAACGACACTAAGCAGTTAAAAACAGATTTATAACAAGGATTTTTAGCATTCAAAAAGACTATTTTACAAAACGGGATATTTAAGACAAAACATGAGGTGCCTGCACAAAATTTCACAAAAAATGGTAAAAAGTCACAAAAATTGTAAGTTAATTGCATTTCCACATTCTACTGAAATTTTAAAATCTAAATATTGGACTGAAAAAAAAAAAAACTTGATGGCTTAAAACTGAAAAAAGAAAATATCAGTTTCTATTGATGCTAAGGGTAGTTTTTCATTACATTCTTAAAATGAGTTTACTCAAACTTAGGGCGTTTTGCAAATGATCACCTTAACTAAATACTTAATACTCACATACTAAAAACTTAATACTCACCTTAACTCACCTATAAAAAATTTTATGACAGGTAACCAACAATTATATGCAGAAAAATAAAGTCAAATAAAAAAAGTTAAGTAAAAAAAACAAACCAATTCCTTCAAAACTATTTTGTAATAGTGAATCGATTTTCTTATTTTGAATGCGCCTTGCATCGCCATTATCCATAGCAAGAAGAACTTTTGCTACTTTTGTTAATTCGATAGTAGAATCCTCACGTCGATACCAATTTTGATGAACATCTTTAGTATGCCCCATGTGATTTGTGAGCCACAAAAGCTCAGCATTATTCATGTCTAACAACTGCAGAATGGTTGCCAAATACTTTCTAGTTCTAGTTGGCGTAATAAGCTTTGGCTTCAATAAATTAAGCTTTTTTGTTAAAGATTGTAGCGCGTCCCAACCACGTAGTTTAAAACAGCCTGCACCACGGGCAAACACATAATTATTTTTTTGAGAAATATTAGCATTTTGCCTTGAGCTGATTAATAGTCTGATTGCACCAACAACTTCCTCAGTAAAAATAATCGGAACTAATGCTTTTACAGAAGAACCTAATTTAATAACATATACAGCATGAAAAAAGCATTTAAAATTTTATTTCTGAATACAAAAATTTCTCAATATCTGATAAGAAAAATATATAAAATAAGATGTCATTAAATTTTTAATAAGTGAATAAAAAACAAAATTCCATACCACTCCGTTTTTTTTTGCCTTCAATGTAACATAGTTTAAATCGCTCTGCAAGCTTTTTTTCTATCGGATCATCTAAAGCATCTATGTCAGTTTGGCGTTTCCACCTGCCTTTTTCTACCATATCCCAATCTGCTAATGTCAACTTTCCAGGTTCTCCACCTCGCCTAGCATTAAATGTTAGTATTCTTACATAAGTAAGTTTACACAAATGTATATATTCATTAGATGTAAGAATTGTATTGTTTAAATACTTGCTGATTTCACTAACACAATAATTTCTTAAAACTTTAATGTCACTTTCTTCTGGCAACATATCTGGTGCATTGGCTTTTCGTAAATCATATACACTACGTGCATTGTTTAAAAAAATACTGTAGTCTGATTCCAATAGCTCTAAAAAATTTCGAATGTTTTCAACCATGTCTTGTAATCCTAATTTCAGGTACTCTAATTTGACTATTATAGCTAAAGTTTTTAATGAATATCCTATTCTTAAAACAAGATGAGGATTTCCAATTTTTCTTGGTCCACAATAATCTGCACAAACTTTCATAGAAGAAACAATGTTATCATAGTTTTTTGTATTGACTAAATCTTTGGCAGATGCATCTTCTGCATTAAACTGTTTTCTGTATTGCAACAATAACTTAGCTAAAACTCGAAGTGCATAGCCTACATCATGGTAACGATCTCTTTCTTTTTTACCAACTTCAACTGCTCCATAGGTCAATAATAACTTATCATTGCGAATAACAAGGTGAAGTTTATCATGTTTCATAGTTGTAAGTATATGCTCATGTACAATTTTAGCATTGTCGGTCAAACTGGATTGGCCTACTAATATTCGAGAAGCTTTTATATAACTTATTTCCTTGTTATCACTACCACGCCTAAAACACTTTGAAACATGTTCACAAAGTTTCCTTGCTCTGAAAAAACCATAACAATATTCACAAGGCAATAGCTCATCATCTTTGTTGACTGTACATTTTCTTACAGATGTTATTTTTTTAGAACTTTTAATGTTATTTATATTTACATTAAAATCACCTTTCCTCTCTATATAAGTCCACATATTTCTTCGCTCTTTATTTTTTTTCGGATAACGAAGGGCTTCTATAACAAGTTCTTCTTGCTTATGAATATGTTCTAAATGCCTTGGGATTTTTGAGAGAAGTTTTTCACAATAAAGACAGTAGTGTTTTTTATGCCCATGTTTGTGTCTGGATTCAATAACTATAACAACAACTATAAACTTTATAAAAAATACTAAATCAAAAACTTATAAATTTAAATACAAAAACTATTACCATTGTTATTGTCAGATAAAATTTCATCATCAGAACTGTGTATCTTGCTTTCAATTAGCTGACTAATTTCTTCTTTGTTACATAATTAAGATAAAAAGAGGATTTAGAACAACAAATTTGAATAAACTTGAAAAAATAAAACAAGTTTTATAATTTATATTATATAACAATATTGACAAAATATAAATATTGACAAAAATACCTTTTCTGATAAGAAATTCATTATTTGGTATACTGAGTAATTCATTATGGATAACATCAATAACATCAGATTCACTTTCCGATTCTGGGGTACCAATATATTTTGGAATATTGAAATCTGAGTCTCTGTCATCTTCACCAGAAGATTCCTTTAAAAATAAATACTATAGTTATATATATATATATATATATATATATATATATATATATATATATATATATATATATATATATATATATATATATATATATATATATATATATATATAAAATTTATATAAAATAGTTATACTTACTTCGTTTGAAGAATGAAGTATCTAAATACAATTTGAAAAGTTAACTTAAAGTTAAAAATAGTGCTATAATACATTTTTCAAAAAATTATACATAAAAAAATTTAAGGAATATTGTTTTAATATTTTGTTAAAAAAATTGTAAAAAAGAAAAAGAAAAAAAAAAAATCTATATTAAAACAAATTAAATAATCAGTTACAATTCAACCTGTTTTAAAAAAGAATCATCGATCCCACTGTCATCACGTAAAGAGCTATCTAAATCCTAGCAAAAAATATAAAATCTGTTTATTAAAACATATGAATATAGAATTTTTAAATTTTCAGTGGTTAAGTGCTATAAAATACCAACCTATATATGGTATGCTGAACTTGTTTTACAATTACATGTCATTGTTTAAGAATTAAATTGAGTTTCAATAAAAATTTAATATTATCAAATATATATTTGGCACATACTGTCAATTTTGAAGTATTTTGCCTATTTTACTAATTTGTATTTACAAGTAAGTTAATGTAATATTCAAATACATTTGTTCATATCAAAAAACATTCATTTTTTAGAATTAACTAATAAAACTTCATAACTCTCAGTACATTCTTTTACTACCTTATTATATCATTATGCATTTTACAAGTTTTATTTTACCAACAAAAACAACAACAAAAAAACATTTAAAAATCAATTACGCTGCTGAAATCTTGATTTTTTACTTAAAATTAACTTTCTGCTTTGGTTATATGCTGGTAACTTAGGTATCTTTCTTATCTACTTTGTATTTTAAAATCTAAGGCTTACCAGTTCAGGCATTCTGTAGTTTATGCATTTTGACTAAATTACAAAGAAAAGTATTCAAAACAAAATTGAATAAAGTTATTTAGTAATAATTTTAGTTTCCTAAATTTGTAAAAAGTTATTACCATATTCCTCTGTGGATACCGTCTTTTTTTTGAACTAGAATTCTAAATTTATAAAAAGTAATAATTAAGTCCAATGATAATTAGTAAAAAAAACCATTCAATATTAGAAAATGGTAAAAATTTCAGAATAACTGCAAAATAATTTAACTTAATATACATTTGTTGAAAGAGATTTAATAGAAGTTATTTAAAACAGTACCATAATTTCAGATTTTGATTGCTTTGTAGTTTCTTTTTTAGGTGTGCTTGTGGCTTTGCAAAAATCTAAAGAACAAGAAACACTCTGCTACTCAACAGCTTGCTAAATCATTAAAAAAAAAAGTAATATTAGAAGCATTCATACCTATGATATGAGGCTAAACAAAATAAAAAACATATGATTAATTTTACATTCAAAAGATGAATAAACTGAGAAAAATAGCATAAATAAATACTTCCAAAATGAAAGGGTTTTGAGCAAAAAACAGAGATTCATTAGGCTATTTTATCAAATTAAAAAAGAAAATATTATTTGAAACACAAAAATAACCTACAGGGGTAGAGAAGACTAGATAACTAGTAGGTAATATCTCCACACTGTTCACAAATTCATCATGATCACTTGACTCTACTTCATCAAGAATACCAGAAGACTTTAAAAAAAGCAAACCATAGATTTGTGATACTTTAAATAGATTAAATTAAAAATAAACATAATAAGGAAAAAAAACATAATATCAATAAAATTATTACACACCAATGGTAATGTATGTAAGCTGTTTGACATCTCTGACTTTTTTGTGTCACATAAATCATAGACCTTAAAAAAATTAACAACAAAAGGTTTATATATAAATGTTTCTATCTTTAAAACGTATTAATTATATTGTAAAACTTGAAAGCACCTCAGATGCGGTATCAGATTCTAATTCTCCTAGAGTAAAAGGTTTCAGAAGATGTTTCTAAAATAAAATAAAACATTTGAAACAAATATTCAATATTTACAAAAAAAAACTTTAATCAATAAAACAACTTTTGCTTTATGTAAATTCATACAAGCTTTCGCCACCATAGATTAGGCGCCTTATAGTCATATCTAATTTCAGTGTCTTGTAAAATTGTTGTATGTGCAAAGATACACAAATATGGCTGAAAATCCACCATTATAACTTTAATAATAGCATTTGCACTCTTCATTGGACTATCATTTATATATTTACCAATACATTCAGTGTTAGTTGCATCTATGCTAAATTGAATATACAAATCATTAAAAAACTGTAGATACAAGAAAAAATTTTAATTTTAATAAATTATTATACTTACCAATACTTAAGGCGTTCATGTTCAAGAAAAAAAATATAACTTCCTTTGTTTTCTTCATAAATATCTTCTCTTTTTTCCCCCTCTTCTAGAGATATTAATTCACCAAAATAGGCACATATAAATTGACCCTTTTTTAGTGTAACTTCAGTGAAAACACCATACCCTGAAAACAATTCATATAAAAATTTCAACTCACATTAATTTAAAATTAACTATAAATGTATTTACTTAAGACTAACCATTAATAGCATTGATATAGCATTTTTTTAAAAATTCAGGATCCTTTTTTTCTTGACAATATTTATATGCAGTTGGATCGCATTTTAAAGATGGTACGTTGTTTCTAGATGGCCATCTCTTATTTTCCATGTTGTTTTAATATCTTCTAAAAATATTATTTAATTACATTCTTAAAAATATTGCAATTCCTTTTTTTACATTTCACTATTACTGTACAAAACTTCAACAATTTAACATTCATGATGGCATCATTATCAGGACATATAAAAACCTAAATAAAAGTTTGTATTAACTATATTTTGCTTTGCATTAGTCTTTATGTTGTAAAAGGTGAGTAAAATTGTTAAAACTACTTTAGGCTTTACAAAAGTTACTTTGTTAGATTTTATTAATGTAGCTCCATGAAGGTAAAATGGTACATTACATTATAGAAATGTTAACATTTCCTCAAAATATTTTGTACTTAAGAAAGATGAAAAAACATATATAAAAACCGAAGCAGTGTACTGAAATTGACTACAAAAAAACAAGTTTAGAATTGTTTAAATCACTTTGCTAACATTTAATATCATTATATATTATTAAATTATGTAGAAATTATAAATTTAGACTATAAAATGCTAACTATGATAGTTAATACTATTATACAATACTAGAACCGTAACCTATGTAAATTATAGATAATACCTATGTAAATTATGGATACTTAAATTATATTAAATAAGGTTAAAAATATTTTATGATACTATTTTAATTTTTTAATAATAGTTTAATGCTTAAAAATATTTTGTAATTAATATAACTTTGCATTTATACTTATAATTCATTATAATATTTACAATTCATTAAATTATTATCATTAATACATATATAATATTTATAATTCATTAAATTGTTATCATTACCATTTTTTACATTATTTATCACTATTTATAATTCTCTATATTTATAATTCTCTATATTTATAATTTCTATTATTATATTTAATAGAATTAGAATTTATAATTGCCTAAAATAAAAGGAGCCTTATATGGTATTTAGTTTAAAATTGCTCAGAATGTACGATTTAGCCGGAGTCTCAGTTACAGTGCACCATAAAAAATATATTTTTTAAAAAAAGATTAGAACAAAACAAAATCTAAGCTGGATCTTATGTGTTTAAAAAAAGATGAATGTATTTCCTGACAAATAAACATATTTAATTAGTTTTAAATAATACATTTAATTTTAATGAAATAAGTATATAAACATCATTACTGAAATTTAGTATGTTTTTTTCTAAAACTTGTTTTAACTTAATCTATAAAAAAAAAAAAATTAATGCACCTTAACTGATACACTTTAAGTAATAAATACTGATACTTTTTAACTTTAAAAATTAATGCACCTTAAATCATACACTTTAAGCTAGTCTAAACTTTAAAATGGTATAAAAAGATTAAAAGAGAGTCTCTCACAAAAAAATAATTTTTGATGCACCATAACTGAGACTCGGAGCAATAGGTAAATTATAGTTTTTAAGCCATTATAAACTTAATAAATGCCGAGACTCTTTTACTTCCAGTTAAAATATATAAACAAATGTTCTACTGTTAAAACAATAACATACATTTTATAAATTACTTTTAATTAAGTTTACTAACTTTAATTCTTATTTGTACCTTTATCGGTACTGCACGTGGCACATTCTAAAATTGCTACGAAACGACACAACATTTTTTTAATCTTTTTTTAAACACCGTTACTGAGACTTATAAATTTAATTCTTTTTCAAGATTAAAATTTAATCTCTTAAAAATATCTTTATGATGCACCGTTACTGAGACTTAGGGCGTTTGGAAATCATACTGTGTAAGCAATTGTAAAGTTAATAACGTTCAAGACTCCTTCACTTTCAAGAAAAATATTAAAAGAACATATGTTAAATTGTTTAAACGATAATATTTTTTATAAATGCGTTAAGAAAGAATTTACTTACATTGATTCTACATTGCACCTTTAACGGCACTACACGTGGCTCACTCGGAAAAATGCATACGTAATCGCCAAATTTATACAGAAAAAGATTCGAAACCATGTGCCGGTAAAAACGACTTTATAATGAGCCGGGAAAAATACAAGAACCCAAATTTTAAAAAGTGCAATCGAGTGCTCGAATGCAAAAATGCAGATACATTTTGAAACTTAGTTTTGAAGAAAAACTTTGTGAAAATGATTTAAACAAACTTTATTATTTTCATTTTTTTTTAAACTTACTACTACTAATTAAAAAGTAATAAAAATATACAAACCTCCGTCATGCATTTTAGAGTTGAAGTTTTTCATATATTCAGAAATGAGGCAAACTTTTTCTTCTTTTTTTTTTCTTCATTGCACCGTTACTGAGACTAAAGGAAAACTCAAATATTATAACCTATTGTAAACTTGATTACGGTCGAGACTCGTTTATTTTCAAGTAATAACTAAAAATATAAAATTCAATAATGTATTAAAAATTTAATATTTAATTTAAAGTAAATAAAATACGTTTATGTTTATTTGTCAGAAAACACTTGATTTTTTTTATCACTGTTACTAAGACGTATAAACTTCTTCTAGATTTTGTTTTGTTTTAATCTCTTAAATTTTTTTTTTTTTTTTGATGCACCGAAACTGAGACTCATATTAAATTAATATTTTTTGAACCAAGAAATTTATAATTTGGAAATAGAAATATTCAATTAAATATTAAAATCATTTGATAATATAAAAGTATTCCAACTAATATTCGAACCATATTTTAAACAATAACATTCTGTTTTTTAATAACTAATAATTAAATTTACTTACATTAATTCTATATTGCACCTTTTTAATACTGCTCGTGGCATACTCTGAAATATAACTAACTCGGAACAACAGAATATTTATGCAAAAATAATACTTTTAAACCATCTACTAGAAAAAATTACTGATGAAAGCGCCGAGAAAGGTACTAAAGTTAATTCAACACGAAATTGAACAAAAATGTGCAATAGAGATCTATTATAGAGCAGGGCCGACGACACCAGGAGAAAGAGGAAAAGGAGCACAGGACTTCCCACCAAAAGATCTTTTTTTTTTTTTTTTTTTCGGAATATCTAGATTTAGACGACTTTTTTAGAAATTGATGATTGTGCCCTTCCACTTCAAAACCCGTGACGTACTGGAACGCAAAAGAGACATTTTAATATTTAATTAAGTCTTGAAGAAAAAGTTCGTAAAGGAAAATCATTTATATGAATTTAAAAAAAAAAAATTTATCTTACTAAACGAATTAAATAGAAATATTAATCAACAAACCTCCGTCATGTGCTTTAGTTTAGTTATAGATATTTTAGACTTTCAAACAAAAGGCAAGTTTTTCTTGTTATAAATTAAACTATTAATTCATATAATTTTGTATTCATACTTAAACTTTTTTCTAATAATGTTTTATTATCTTATCGAAATATTTTCGCAAAAATAAAATTTTTATAAAATTGGTCTTATTAAAAAGTTTTTAAAAACTTTTGTATTTTATTCAACAGTTATGGTTTTAAATGGAGTGAATCTTTGAGGCAATGATCTACTTCTTTTCATTCTTCAATCGTTTGATCTACTCATTCTTCAATCGTTTTCAGAGTTTAACAGATCTTTTTATTTTTCTATAAATTTATTGACATCTGATTCTCAAGTAAAATTTCCTTGTAACAAGCTAAGAATAAATTTCTGAATCTTCAAACCCATATTACTTACTTTTTTTCTGTTGAAAAAATATAGAAATATATATTTTTTTCAAAACTATATTTGTATGAATAATACAAGCATTCAAGTTCTTTGATGCAAATTTATGAATTGCTGAGCATTAATCGTATATAATTTTTTTATTTTAAAAAGATAACTTATTGTTGACTTTATTAAAGATAACTACGCTGGTAAAGGAAACTTTGTGTGATAAAACGTGTCAACTACTGCACACTCGCGGAAAGTGTAGAGTTTTCCTCCATACCAGTGTGTAGCTATCGCTCCTAGACACAAGTGTAGAATTATTTTGCACAATTTTGTGCAAATAACTCCAAACTTCTGTGCAAAGGTTGATTTAGAAAAAGGTAATTTCCACAAAAGTGTGCAAAATAATTCCACACTTGTGTCTAGGAGTGATAGCTACACAAAGGTGTGGAGGAAAACTCCACACTTTCCGCGAGAGTGTGGGAGTTTCTGAAGAAGTTTATTAAAACTAATCTGTTGCTTCTTGCTACAATTTATTTCATTTTAATTGAAATCTTAATTTAGTTTGCAAAATTACCTGTAAAGTTTTTTACAGATAATTTAAGTAAACGGAATTTTTTACACAATATAAAACTCATTTTTGTTTCAACGCAAAATTTGTTTATTCAAAATATATCCAATCCAATTTTAAATTGCATATATTTAAGCATAAAGTTGGGTAACTTTACACGCAAAGAATTCTACATAAATATATATTTTTTTAAATCTTAAAGTTTTTGTTATCTTAAAAATGTTAGAAATAGAAGTACAACGCCAACCACCAAGAATTACAAAAACTGAGTTGCTTTTAAACATTCTTAAAAAATTTTTCTAAAGAATAATTAATTAAAACAAACAAACAAAAAATTAACCTTCCTCCCCTTTCCCATTGTGAACCTTATAATTGTTAAGACTCCTTTTTTTTAAAAAAAAAAATATATATAATAAATATTATAACTACGTTAAAAACTCGATATTTTATTTAAATTGAACTTAAATTGATTATGTTTATTTGTCAGTTATTACATGCTTTTTTTTTAAGCACCGTAACTGAGACTTGTTAACTTGATCTTTTATTTAAATTTTGTTTTATTTCAATCTCTCTAATGTATAATTTTTTGATGCACCGTAATTAAGACTCTGAGATAAGTCAAGCTTTCTCAGCCGGTGTAAACTTAGAAACGGTTTAGAAACCTTTAGTTTCAAAAAGGTATAAAATAAATATTCTAACCATGTATTAAAAGTTAAATACTTAATTTAAATTGAACTAGGAATGATTTTGCTTATTTGTCAGAAATTACATGCTTCTTTTTTTAAGCACCTTTACTGAGGCTTATTACATTTATCTTTTTTCTAGATTTCTTTTACGTAAACTTAATAACGCTTGAGAAACCTCAACATTGTAAACTAAATAACTAAAACTCAATAATAACGTTAATAATATAGTAAACTTTATAACGGTTGAGAAACCTTTAGTTTCAAAAATACATATCAAATGAATATTCTAACCATGTATTAAAAGTTCAATACCTTATTTAAATTGAATTAAAAACTTTTATGCTTATTCGTCACCTATTACACGCTCTATTTAAACCACCGTTACTGAGACTTATTACTTTAACCTTTTTTCTAGATTTTGATTTGTTTTAAACTCTTAAATGTATAAACTTTAGATGCACCGTAACTGAGACTCAAGAAAGAGACTGAGAAAAGTCAAACATTCTAAGCCATTGAAAACTTAATAAAGGTTTAGAAACCTTTTGTTTCAAAAATATATAAAAAAAAAAATTCTAATCATGTACTTAAAGTTAAATATTTTATTTAAATTGAATTAAAACGTTTATGTTTATTTTGTCACGTATTGCGCGCTTTTTTTTTAAACCACCGTTACTGAGACTTATTACTTTAGTCTTTTTTCTAGATTTTGATTTGTTTTAAACTCTTAAATGTATAAACTTTAGATGCACCGTAACTGAGACTCAGAGAAAAGTCAAACATTCTAAGCCATTGAAAACTTAATAAAGGTTTGAAAACCTGTAGTTTCAAAAATATATATAAAAAAAAAAATTCTTATCATGTACTTAAAGTTAAATATTTTATTTAAATTGAATTAAAAACGTTTATGTTTATTTTGTCACGTATTGCGCGCTTTTTTTTTAAACCACCGTTACTGAGACTTATTACTTTAGTCTTTTTTCTAGATTTTGATTTGTTTTAAACTCTTAAATGTATAAACTTTAGATGCACCGTAACTGAGACTCAGAGAAAAGTCAAACATTCTAAGCCATTGAAAACTTAATAAAGGTTTGAAAACCTGTAGTTTCAAAAATATATATATAAAAAAAAATTCTAATCATGTACTTAAAGTTAAATATTTTATTTAAATTGAATTAAAAACGTTTATGTTTATTTTGTCACGTATTGCGCGCTTTTTTTTTAAACCACCGTTACTGAGACTTATCACGTTAATCTTTTTTCTAGATTTTGATTTGTGTACAACTCTCTAATGTATAATTTGTTGATGCGCCGTAACTAAGACTCATAGATTTGTTTTAAACTCTTAAATGTATAAACTTTAGATGCACCGTAACTGAGACTCAAGAAAGAGACTGAGAAAAGTCAAACTTTCTAAGCCATTGTAAACTTAATAACGGTTAAGAAACCTTTAATTTCAAAAATATATAAAAATAAATATTCTAACCACGTATTAAAAGTTTAATGTTTAATATAAGTTAAATTTAAAATGTTTATGCTTACTTGCCACGTATTTTTCACGCAATTTTTTTAAACCACCGTTACTGAGACTTATTACGTTAATCTCTTTCTAGATTTTGATTTGTTTTAAACTCTCTAATTTATTTATTTATTTGAAAACAACAGAAAGACCCGAAGGCCACTAACTCTTAGTATACTTTTTTTTTTTACTGAAATATTAAATTGTATCAAGTGCTGGACAAGTTACAACAAAATTGTATTAACTTGAACAAAGCAGTACAGCAAGACATTTCTTAAACATCAAGACGATGCAGACACCACATCCTCCGATAAACTATTCCACACATTAAC